TGATATTTAAACATATATAAAGTGCGCTACTTTTACAAGCCTTGTGGTGATAAACTTCAAAGATTGCAAAGTTGGGATGACATTTTAGTCACAATTGAAAAAATTAATGAGTAGATTTATTATACTTTACAACTACATGATATATAACATATATTTTAATATATAGAAAGAACAGACAGTTCTGAAGTTTTATGGGTCTTGAAATTATTTTAAATTGAAATTAATCGTGGACATCTCTTGCAATTTTAATAATTTGTAATATTTTGTATGCAGAATGACTTTGATACTGTTGTACAATCAAATTATTAAATTGAAATGCTTGAAAATAGGGGATTTTTAGGGAACATTGCAAACAGACCTTTGCCTATAACTTTGACATGAATTTTCAGATTTGTAATGCCAACACAAAAAAATGGTTTCCTTTGCACATGTCACAGATTGCATTTTTAAGTCTTTTAAAAAATAATGCAAGAGTTATCTCCCTTTGTCAAACTCTTTAGACTAATATGACTATCTTGTTTAAATTTTTACACATATAGGTTTTATAAGTACCTTAAAAGCTGGAGACTGTTAAGTTTGAAATCAAACATTATTTCTTAAAGGAAGTAAGCAAGTCTCCACATTATTGCATTCAGGGCAAAAATATGTTTTACCTTCTATCAAATGATTATCAATTTCCATTGGCTCTTCTGTTTCTTGTGTCAATAAACTACTAGTCTGTAATGACCTAGTAAAAATCTCTGGAAGTATGAAAGATGAATAAAAAAATTCCAGACTGACTAACATGTTTGAAAAAAAATCACTGTCAAACACAATCTTTTCATGAAAGGGTCCATTGCATGTATATATGTACAGTATACACCATTTCCGCTTTGTAAGCGACATCTGCCCTTGAACTTGACCATAATGCCCCTCGTATGCCCCTCATTTTCAGTGTTAGTGGTTCTGTGCATTGTAAACAATTTGGCAATTTACATTTGCAAAAAGAAACACATGTACGGCATTTTGGAATAAGTGGACATTTAAATTCTACCACACCTTCTCCACAGCAAGAACAAGATACAAGTAAATCAGGGGAAGCAGCTAAAAATGGCCGCTCTGTATCTAAAAATATTCCACATTCATCAAACATGACATTTTTGTGATTTTTTTTGTACATTTTCTTGAAGTCAGCTTTTGCTATGGGTTCCATTTCCCGTCCATACTTAAGGGCTTTGACATTTGGATTTACAGATTTATACCCCATTATTCGTAAAAGTAATGAACTAACATCACAATCTGAATTTCTTTTGTAACTCTCTACTTTTGTGTGAACAGCATAAAAATTTGAAGCAGTTAGTCTTCCTTTCCTTAGTTCTGTCCACTGGGGGTTGGATGACTGGCCCAAGGTAGCTTTGTTGTTTGCTTGAACCTCTGCCTCTGAGATGTGATCCACCCGGTTATTTATCATGTTTTCTATGTAATAATTTCAGCATTGTACACAATAACAGGTGTTGTTTCTTCCTGCTCCTTAGGCAACTCTGGAGGATCATCAGTACTCTGCATACCTGGATTAAACAAAAATACAGAGCACCATTGCTAGACTGGGGGTCTGATAATACAATATAGTTTTAACGTATGCAATAAACTTTCTCTGTATGTATATATTTTATTATCTTTATCTAAACTGTATTGATCTATTAAAAAATTGGTCTATGTAAAGAATAGATGATGAGTAAAAATATTTAAAATTTTCTTGGTTAAACTAGCTTTTACCTTTAAACACACAAGCATTTGGAAGAGCATCCTTCAGGGAGGTTAAAAGGGTCCTCCGTATGTCCTCGTCAGTGTTTCTGGTTGTGTGAGGCGTAACTTCATAGTCTGCTTTATTCCTCCCAACAAGTGGTCTAGATACTGTATATATAAAGTGCATGTACTTTACATCAAGAAAACATGTACCTTAATTGTACACAAATATTTTTTGCCCATTTCTAAATTTTCATTGAATTATAACTTTTACCTCTTATTATGCTTACATTAAACTGATGTTATTATATAACTGTGTGTCTAAAGTATTATTTTTTTAATGACCAAGCTTTTTAAAAAGATTACCTGGTAATCTTAATCACATGCAGCCATAGTGTAATTCATTTTGTAAAGTCTTTTTGTATGACAAGAGTCATTATTGAACTGTGTGAAAGTTCTGGTATACCTACCAGCTTTACCATGCTTTGACTTTTTAAAGTTCATATCCTTGATTTGGGCAGGTTGAAGCTTTTTTTCTGTTGGTTTAACCCATACACAAGTTCCAGAGGTGCAAAATGTAAGCCCCAGTTTGTTTGCTGATTCAATACGAAAAAGCAAACCAGCTACATGGTTGCAAGATTGTCCCAGGCTGCAATATAAAATCCAGTTATCATTATAAACCAAAATACTTGATATTATTTACAACACTTACACACATGGACATGTGTATATAATGATTATAAGTGAATAATATACATTGTAGGTCTATATATGATTTATTTATTTCTGGGATATGTAGAAACAATTTCTTGATTATACCTAATTTAATCGATTATATTACATTTCATAGGTCATTTAATTAACCTTTAAAAATAACTAATCAATTGAAAATTGTTCTCATGATCACTTACCCTGAGGTACAAGAACAGTAGGCACTTATAACTGTTCCAGTTTTCTTCTCAAAACAAACCCAAACACTGTGTGTTTCAGCATTAAGATTCTGGGAAGGTGTGCACCTGGCACGCAGAAAACAGTATGGTGATGATGATGATATGGGATGATAAAACACTTCTTTCAGCCACTCTGATGAATAATACTCATATGCTTTTCCTATCTTATACTGATTCAGATGTTCACACGCCTTCTCCTCACTTTCAGATTTCATTAAAAATGTAGTAATGTCTGTAATAAACACTGGTGGCCAATGAGACATACCCTGTTTCTCGTCTTCCCACTTATCATAAATTAACAAAGGGTCTGGTAAAGTAACATCACCAACTTTGAGTAAACGTTTGTAGGTATCTAATTTAGACTTTTCATTTTCTTCTGCTGTTGGTATAATTGGCATATTAAGCTTACTTGCCGCAAAAGCCAGAGCTATCAGTTCTTTCTTATTTCCGGTGCTTGAGAGTCCTCGCCTGGTCAAAAATGACCACAACGCTTCAATTTTCCAATGAGAAAAATCATTTAAAGTACAGCTTTGATCGCCAGGATCCATAATGTATATATGTATGTATAAAATATCAAAGTTATAAAATACTAGTCAAAATAAACCGCTGTGTATTACTTCGTGACTTCCGCAGGCATCCATTACAGCGTCCTTATCCCCGATTGACCTTTGACATGCATATTTAACGAGCAATACCAAAATGGCGAACCCGAACGTGCAATAGGACTATACACATTTTAAGGGATAGGAATGCTGGGGCGGAGGAGGGTCTTCAAAATGAACGTGCCTCATGTTAGCTTAGTCAGCGGGTTATCACAATATATTTCCATTTCTATTTTTTTTCTCTGTGATAACTCTTTGAAAGTTAGGGGTAGTTTATTTCTTGATAATTCTGCCGGAATGTGAATTAGGCAGGTCTGTAGGTCGGGAGCTAAGGAGGCCTAATACGCATGCAATTCTCGTGCGCATCTGTCTCTGTGTCTGACGCTAAGGAGGCCAAATATGCATGTAAATCTCGTGCGGCTGCCTTTGTGTGTGACGTCGGTTGGCGAGGACTATTGAAATTGGCATGGAAGTCATCATGTGATTCAAATCTATTTATCTACATTTTAAAGTCTAGATCTACAATTTTATTTCACAATGAAATGGAAATATAAGGAATCACTGTCTAGTTAGGAGGGTATGTCAGGGACATCAACAATAGTGGGAAACATGGGATAATTTAAGCATAACGGGCTTCGCCCGTTATGCAAATTATCCCATGTTTCCCACTATTGTTGATGCCCTGACATACCCTCCTAACAAGACAGTGATTCCTTAAACAACTGAATGACTCGCTGAGCTGACCACGTGACCTTACACCTTCTATACCCGCGTAATCCATCAGCCAAGGCGTGGATCTAATAATTTCACAATTTACAAAAAAAAAAATCCTACTGGAAACCTCAAAATAAGTTATCCCATTCAATATATAAATACAATTATTATTCTAAAAATTGTTTTTTTTGTCTTATGGGCCTGACTAAAGGTAACATATATTCAGGAAGTGTGTCAGCTTTGCTCCGGATGCAAATTTGGGAAGGGCAGAGGAAAAAGTACAACGTTTTAATATAAAGAAGAGAAGGTAGCATATTCCCCCATTTTCTTCATCATACTTAACTTGACAGTTAATTTTTTATCTTCAGAATTTCAATTAAGCCTAACAACCAACAATGAAAACCTACGAAATTAGAGTAAAGACTAGCGGAAGAATAGGAAGGGGGTAATCTTTTTAAGAGCAGTATGGTCATGATTAGTCACAAAAAAAAAAAAAAGCTTTTGTAAATTCAATTTTGTTCAAACTCCATGAATTCTTGAATTACCTTTGCGTCTAATTATGCATTTGATATCAAGAAAAATCTATGTTTTAATTGACCACTGGGTGTTACTTCCTTCTTTTAATGAAAAAGTTTGTTACGTAGAACAAATGCATGTACAGGAAAAGATTCTTTACATCGGTAATTGTTCTCTCCTAGCTGACAAAGTTATAGTTTAATTATTTTCACTTTGAAAATGTCTTTTGGTATATCTTTTAACCATAAATTTGATATAAAAAGTGCATTTAATCGCTGTAACAGAAATATTGACAATAGAAAAAATTAATAACGTGGTTAAAACCTGACAAAAAATCAAAATAAGCTCGTGAAGAGAAAAATGATGCATACAGCAACAATATTAGATATTTTAGCTATATTTTTTTTCTTATCGGCCTGACTAAAGGTAACGTATATTCAGGAAGTGTGTCAGCTGTGCTCCGGATGCAAATTTGGGAATGGGAGAGGAAAAAGTACGTCAATGTTTTAATATAAAGAAAAGAAGGAAGCATATTCACTCATTTTCTTCATCACACATACTTGGCAATTAATTTATCTACAGAATTTCAATAATAAACAACCAACAATGACCACCTACGAAATTAGAGTAAAGACTGGTGATAAAATGGGAGCAGGGACGGACGCCAACACAGAAATCGCACTACGTGGTAGCTCAGGAAAGCAAACAAAATCTGCTCTTCTTGATAACTGGTTTAAAAATGATTTTGAACGTGGCAAAACAGATGTTTTCATCATTCAAGACGAAACAGATATTCCTGAAGTAACTGAGATCAAGTTGCGAAGAGACAAAGCCGGTTTGTTCAGCGATTGGTTCGTTGAAAAAGTTGAAGTAACCAATCAGAGGAGCGGAAAGACTAACGTTTTCCCAATACTTCGGTGGATTCGCCCTGATGTTGACCTCTATTTTGGACGATATGATGTCTCTCTGCCACAGTTTGATACTCGGCTGCAACAGCGCAGTGCTGAGTTGAATGAGAAAAGGAAGCTCTACGAGTATGAGGAGAAAACCCCAGGATTACCCGTACAGGTACGTATGGAAATCTGTCTTCATCAAAGAATAAGGTAAATGTATTTATTATAAACTAAATTATTTTTTATTGTCTCAACTCTTATATTCGTAGGTTAAAAATGTCCCTGAGGATGAAGTGTTCTCTTCCTCTTACAAGGTAGGATTGCATAATTACTGGTTTTACAATATCCGGTGATGGTGAAACAGTTGAACCTTTATTTCGTAAGGTAGTCCGATCCTCAGGTTTATAAAATTAGCAGTTAAGTTATCAAAAATACTCATAAAAGTATCTCTGAATCCACAAAGCTATGTAAATTTATCCACAGTATTTCTTTAAAGTTGAAGATGCAAGTTAATCATATTATATAGGGAAAATTGTCAAATCAACAATATTTTTGCAGAAAAAGCGAATTGGAATATCAGCACTGCGTTTTCTAATTGCAAATTGATCATCAAATATATTTTAGGTTAATAAATGATAGTTATCCAGGCATTCAGAAAAATTGTCATGATTTTTATACTTATTTAATATTTTTTGTCTCCTATTTCCGTCAAGTATTCTATAATACATAGTGTAAAACTTTTTGCTATCATTGCAAAACACCACATATCACTTCTTATTTCATATAATGCTATTAAGCATTGGTATCTAAGGCTGGATTCAAGAAAATCTTATTTCTCTAAAACTATATTATTTTTTTTCCTTTCATAGGGTAAAAATGTCAACTTTTATATGACCTTTTCTAAGACTTCAGAAAACCTTTGAATCTTATAAAGATGAATAAAATGAAAATTGTTGCATGAAAGAATTCCATTTTCAAGCTTCATTTTGATGCATTTCAAATAAAATATTAATTTTTGGAGTTATCCTTCCTGGCTGAAGATCGGATATCCTTAATCTTCTTACAACTAGGACGTAAAAAAACAATACAAAATAGGAGCAGAGCAAATACGGAGCTCCAAAACATCAGAGGTAGGATCAGGTGCCGTGGAGGAGAAGGCATCCGATACAATGTTTAGTATTGATTAAATCACGTGAACACTAATTTCTTTATTTCCTTTAAGGTGTTCGAGCATGTATAATAACCATATTTTGTACCCCAAATATGAATGGTCTTAATATTTAAGTTATGGTAGCACGTTGAAGATATTGTCAAATAAAAATAATCCACCAAAGGAATTATAAAATTCTGATTATTTTTTCAATTAATAGAACATTAAATTTTACATTAAAGTCAATGGGCAGGGCATGTCTTTAACAGGTCTGGACGATTTCAGGGGTTCAAAAATCCTCAAGCCCGACGTCCCGGACTAACAAATTCCGGATCCGGACTCGGCATTTAGAATTCGCCAAAGTCCTGGGACTTGGCTATGTTTCTTGTTTATCTTTTTTTATAAGTTAAAAAAATGATCGTAAAGCTAAAAATAAAGCAAATTCTCAAATGTATTAAGTAAAAATGTGGGTTTGTGGGCGTTAAAATACCCATAAAACATTACGAACGTTTCGAAAATACAATCCGTCTTTTTATTTTCCGTTGCGGTTAGACTCTTGCTTTTACGCAATTCCGCATGTTTCCTCCTATATATATATGACAAACGGCAATGAGTTTGTTAAATTTAGGCTTTAGCTGTGACTTACAGCACAGTCTAATTTTTATTTATTGTAACAGATGGTTTATTAAGTAGTGAGTATTTGTAAAAGTTATTGTAATGTACCAGTAATCTATAAGTCTGGTATTGTGTTGAAATACTCATGTATGACTATATGACAGTTTATGGAGGAAAAATAAAACATATATTAATACACATAGTCTTTATTCATTCAATGCAACAAATGAAAATAAATTATAAATTTAATGATGTATAGGTAAATATGGACTCTGAAATTTCTTCCTCGGACTTGCCTAAAATTTACTCTTCAAGTCCTGGACTTGACCATGACAAAAAAAAAATTTGAACCCCTGCGATTTCCAATTATGGAAGTCAAGAACGATAACTGAAAGTTGCTAAAAATATACATCATGTACACGTAATTATATTTATATCCAATCAAATAACAGCATTTCTACACACCCCAAATCATATCTTATAAAGAACAAAAAGAAAATACGTGCTTTTATTTTTCTTTCTCAAACAAAAAATCTTTAGAAGTAAGATAAAAACTTTTGAAGAATACGGTATTTTCCACATATTTACCGTGAAGAACCTTGAAATTTTTATCTCGGTAAAAAAAAAAATGTCTGATACAATGTAATCGTTTACGGAGGAATAAATCACACCAGCAAGTTTTTATCAAGTTCAATCATAACATTTACCAGAATATACTGTATGTTGGTAAATATAACTTTGCTTAGCCATCTGATTTTCATCGATGATGCTTAAATTCCATATGGTATAGATCCACTTCACACAAGTGTTTATCTACATATAGTTTTAAAATATCACGGATTTCATAAGCCCCGAATACTAAGCCATGCAGACTTTAAATGGGCATAAGGAAAGGCGTAAAACGTGGAGAAAATTGAATAATTTTACATGAATGCGTATTATCCCAATATCTTACCTCGCATACCAGAAACTGCATGGACGGCTTTGTTATAAACACTCAGAAAATAATTAAGACTGTTATCCATACGATAGATTTTTATGTCAGACTCTAAAGACTGAAAAATGTCCGTGTTTATTATATCAATTTTTTTTACTTAAGTTAAACTATTAGGATTGCTACCTCATATAATCTCACTTTAAACGTTTTCTAAGCTTTCAAGTCATGTTTGTTCACAGAATTGTCATAAATATTATATTATTCCTAAATGTGCATAAAGTTTACAAAAAATGTTCCCAAAAAATCTTTTGAGCAAAAAACTGTAAAACCACGTGTTTTATTTATTTTCTCATTGGTTTGTATAAATGCTGTTATCTGATTGGTCAGAAGGACTACCACCTTGTTTATTCTGTGTATTTATAGCAATTCACGGTTATCGCTCTTGACTACCATATTTGGAAATCATCCAGACCTGTAATATGTCATTTAAACTGCATAAACAGTTTTGTGAAGTTATTCATTAACTCATTTACTAAAGTATGAAGTAAAATTAAATATTACCCTACTAAAGTGTTTTGACAAAAATAAAATAATCCCCCATATCATCGAATAGAAATTAGAGCGAATGATATATTTCAACACGCTAATTATATGTAACGTAGAGAAAACCAGATAAAGAGAAAGGTAACAGAGAAAGGTACTAATCTTGAAAGAAACAGAAACTTGTTATTCTTTTGAGATCGAACTAACGGGTAATCGAGCCCTACATGTACCTAGCTATCTGAATTGGTAGATATGATACATAAACACAACACTATATCAATTAAGTTCATGAAATACTTCTGTTGTGAAATACTTATTTATTTATTTTTTTTTTTTTTGTAATAAATTTCTTAGAAGGAAGACGGAACCTTTCTGACAATATAGGGGAAACACATTAAATTTATTAAGATCACCCAGTTGATAAAACTTTTTCACAGAAAAAGGAAGGATGCAACCCACACGCACTTGTTTCGTATATGGGGAACCGCTACTTATTTTTCACCAAAAGGTATATAAGTCAATGTCAGACACCCAAAAAACCACTCCGGTACATATCAAATTCCGGAAGACGACACTAATGCATCGTTGTTTCAATTTGATTCATTGCAACGGGACATTGCTTTTGTGCAAATGTTTTACCTAATATAACCATGTATACGTAGCTCTTTCTGCTGCTTGTAATATATTTTGGATTCATTTCGTTTACATCTTAGTAGAGGAGTTACAAAAAGATCCAAAATACATGTAGGGAGTTAAGTTACCTATTCTTTGTTTTAAAATACACAGATTCCTTAGAATTTATTTTTGGCTACGTAGTTTACCAGGGGAATTTTTCACAATTCGCATATATTCGCTTTCTAAATGGATTAATAATTACATTAAACGATAATGCAGATATAGAACCATTCCCAGGTAAGCTTGGACTTTCAGTAAGGCGTGGCATTCTCGGCGCAACGTAATCAGCGTCTCTCAAATGACGAAGAGATTCTTACTGGTTAAGAAATTAATAACATCAGGAACTTTAAATTGTTGTTGACAACGATGAGACGACTGAAGCTCCACCTTTTGCCGGACGAGAAGTGTTTATTTGATACACTACTTGGCATTTGCCCAAATATCTATCCCATGTATATTTCAACAGTGAAGGAAAGCGGTGTAAATTTCAGATGCTCAGTATGTGATGTCGAGAAAGCCACGCCTTATTGAAAGTCCAAGCTAAACTGGTAATTGTCCTATTAGTAATATACAGATCTACTAGTTATGTAAATAATGAAGGAAACGAGTTACAATAGCACAAACAAACAAAAACTAGGAATGTTTTACACATGAAATTATGGTTACATTATCACAGATTGATCTGCTACAAAGAAAATACAGTCTGAAGGCGGGTAAAACCTTGGAGATGATTTTCGGTGATGGATCCTGGAAAACTTTATATGACTTGACAGGTGTCTACTCAAAAACATTTGGAGAGCCGAAGGTAACACATCTGTCGTGTTATTTTATCTAAAGTATTGCTATGGATTCATACTAATTGTTATTGCCTCTTCAAAGCGAACATCTGTAGGAAATGGAGTTGTCATAGTCATTAAATGTTCGGCTCATCAAGGTGTCAAGATTTTTCTTTAGCATTTTGTGAAGAAATCCGTTTTAAACGGCAACAATTTTTAAAGTACATATATGAATAATATGCTTATTTATTCTTTTTTATGGTCAAAGCAATGGCTACTCTCTTTCCTAAAATAAAATGTACATGTCCTTAATCGAGCAGGGGATGCAGGACTGGGAGAGTGATATAAGTTTTGGATGGCAACGATTAAACAGCGCCAACCCCAATCTGATTCGGCTCTGTACGCATATACCAGACAAGTAAGGGATCTTAATTAATGCTTATCTACAGACATAATTAATACATCGAATATTACGTTTAGGGAATAATATACATGTCACTATTATACATGTCAACCAAAACAACAATTATGTTTCCAGTTTTAATCAGTGATAAAAAAAAAAACAGTTGTATTCTTTCAATTTGAAATTCATTTCAGGTTTGGGGTGACCGAAGAAATGATCAAACCTTTTCTAGATGGACTGACTTTGTCCCAAGCCATCACTGACAAACGACTGTTCATCATTGATCTGGAAATACTGGATGGGATTTCTCTTGTCGATGGATTTGTTGTAAGTCAAACTATCGCATCGTATATATATACGATATTTATATATGTTTACAGTGTATATAAAGAGTCTTTATTTTCAATCCATTCTTTGTGCATCCATTCAATAAGATTTAGTAATGGCTTAAAAGGACAATGATTATGCATTTATTAAAATGTTATTTATGTTTTTTTTAAATTACATGCAGTGTCCGATTCCCATCGCCCTCTTCTTCGTTAACAGTAAAAATCAACTATTGCCAGTTGCGATACAACTTTTTCAACAGAAGGGATCAGACAATCCAGTAAGAACGACGTCTTGATGAAGCTTTAAATAGAAATCGTACTGAAAGTAAAGGTTATTGAGCCTTTGGTGTAAGACCGTCCTCTGAATGATAGAGGTATGACCTACTATATTTCAGGTGTTTCTGCCCAGTGATCCACCTTATACATGGTTGATGGCCAAAATGTGGTACAACGTAGGGGACTCAAATTATCACCAAGCGATAACGCATCTAGGTAGAATGGTGTCATTTTTTAAAGTAAAATATATCTATCCCCATAAATGCATTTAGTATTTTAATATGCATGCAATCATCTTTGTAGCAGTGCTGCATGGTCGTAATGTAAAACGAAAACTGTTAAAGATGCATCATTTATTTTTTGCCATGTTTATTATTAGTACACCGAAAATCTCGGGCCAATCGGCAAGCCTCGACTGATACTGCTTCACTCCATACAAACCTTGAAAATGCATCAGACCGGTGCATTTCTCAGTCTGAATTTCCTTTAACTCATTTAATTCTTCGCTACGCGTATGAAAACTTCAACAAATCACGTTTTATAACTGGTCTAATTCTTTCTTGTGTATATTGGTTTTGATTAAAACCTTAGGTTAGTAATCTTTGAAAGTATAAATTTAACATGGTGTGGGTGGTCCACAAGGTAACTCAGATTTCAAAGGAATAACCTTATGAGGAATTTCAAATTGGACCACATGATTGTACGTTAGCAAAAAGATAGTAACCGTTTACGTCCAAGGTTAGTGGAGCCACTGAAGGAACTCCGAGTGATCTCCGATCCTCACCCCTCCAAATGGTAAAATTTTTAAATTGCTAATACGACTTTTTAAACAAAAGAGGACTGCATGTAGTCTTTGATGAAATTTTGAGAATCATTCAAAATATCTTGGATTTTACAGATAAAAAATATCACTGTTGGTGTTATAAGACACTTAGAGTACTTAGTATATTTATTATTTCTGTGAAATGAGTAAAGAATGAATTACTTTGTGCATATTGAATAGGTTAGCGAGATGTCAAATATAAGTAGATGATATTCAATACAAAAACAAGGTACACTTTTAATACAAATTAAGCCCTGTAATTTTTTGAATATGAAAGTGATATAAGAAATTAAAAGTTATTCTTTCTGAATAAAAGGAATTCCATGCAGTAAGAATACACAAATAATTTTTCTCATATGACCTCATGAATGCTAATTGTGACGTCATTAACTTGTGCATTTTCCCGTATTTTCTTAAAAAGTTGCAGAAGACATCAATTTTCAGTGGAATTTTCTTTCAGAAAACATACTCTGCCACCGTCGCCCACAAAGATTTTGAGATATGTGATTTTTCAAAGCAAATTACATATATCTAAAAAATGAAGTGGGCGACGGAAGTAGACACTTTTTTCTAAAGGAAAATAAGCACAGAAATGAGTCATTTCAAGGCTATTCTGCATTAAACTTAGAAATGTACCAAATTAATGACGTCATATTTCCAGAATTGTCCTCCGTCATACCATATTCTTTAATGATTTATCGTATTCATCTACTCAACTATTTATAAAGCCAATTTCATAACTTTTTAAGAACATTAAATTTTAAGGCGCAATAAGTCCAAACTGTACCATCTTCTTACCTTTATTCAGGTTACACCCATCTAGCAATGGAAGGCGTGTGTATAGCAGCCAATAGATGTCTGTCTCCTTCCCATCCCATGTTTAAACTGTTGGCGCCACATCTTCTCTACATTATTGCTATCAATGAGTATGTATTATGATATTTTCACATAAAGATTAATATACAATAACTTAAAGATCTTCATAAAAATGAAATGAATCCATAAATATGTATATTTTTAAAGTCTACAAACAAAAGACTTTCCTTTCTTGATGTAAGAAATCTTAAAAATGATTTAATTTACTATTACCGGTATATCGATCCCTTTTGCATTGCAATTCTTACAAAGTTAAACATATAAAATAGAATTTCCATGAAACATTCTCTTGTTTTATTTTTGACATTATTAGCCGCGCTCTCGGCTTCCTTGTGTCTCCTGGAGGATGGATTGATAAAACAATGGTGGTGGGAAGCAAGGGTGTTGTTGAACTGGCTGCAAAAGGGTGAGTTATTATGGATTCCATTTAATTGGTTTACTTTCAATACTATCATAATCTTTTCAAAAGAAAAAGTAGACAGCAAATCAGTGTTCATCTTTACGGTGAATTCCATGTCACACGCGATCAATGCAGATATATTAAGGAAAGCAATAAATAAAAATGTAAGTTATATACAACTCGTACCGTGTATTGGTGGACGATATTGAAAATACAGCGATCAATCTTTAAAAAAAACATATAATGAAAATCTGTAAACGGGGCAGCAAATACGGAAACTCTTGAATTCCAAAGGTGGGATTAGGTGCCTAAAAGGTGTAAGCATATCCTATACCCTGATGTCGAAACAGTCCATAGTCAAATTATTATAGACACAAAGGTTTTACAATTGATATGAAAAACATTGGCAAAGTTCTTGGGTTAAAATTGAATGATTATTTCAAAAAGAGAATTAAGCATTCGTCAAAGCTTAAATGCAGAGATCACTCATAACTTGAACATTTTCTTTTAAACATCCAGCAAACTAGAATAGATAGCATGTATAAATTCTTCGTTGATTATTTTAGGCACATATAAGTGCCATTCAAGCTGCTGCTTGTTATGGTACTTAATCATATCATTTGTATAATTTTAGGCTTGTGCTTACAATTACAAAAGAAAATATCGTGATTTTCCTCTCTGCTTATCTTGCAAAACATATGAAAGATCTCCAAAAACCTTGCTTTATTCGGTCGTTCATTTAAAATATGTATTTTGTTTAGGACAAGCTCTTGGAGAATGGATGTAGAAGGAACCTATCCAGAATTTTTGAAAGAAAGAGGGGTTTGTTATCTCATAATTTTTTCTTTCCTGGTTTTAAATAGTATTTGACAACGTGTGTTTATTAATACTTATTAATATATTAACTTAATATGTTACCTTTACCACTTTTAACGTGTTTTTTAGTCAATTTGCAACAGAATATATGTATCTATCACTTTTAACCATCTTCATATTCGAGACCATTTTCCCACAATTTAGAGCCGTTCAATATAATAACATATTTACTTATGATAAGGTTCAAATTTTCTTGAAATATAATTAAGGTTCCGGAAATATTGAAAAAAAATGTATTCGAATGTCGGAAGTAGGATTTAAAGAATATAAACTCAAATACATAGACTCAAAGTTTGCTTGAAAAGCATACCGTTGCATATAAGTAAACATAACAAATTCGAACACATGCAATTATCTTAAGTTGCATTACAAAGAAATGTTGCATCTATCAATGCATCGCTTCGTGCACAAAAGCAACGTTCTCGCGAGAATAACAACAAAAGTTAATGTCTATTGTATTATTTTTTGTGTGGGAATAAATCTCCAGTTTTTGTAATAATTCGACACCGTTAACTACCGAGTAACTACTGTAAGTCGTTTTAACTCCACGGTGTTAAAATTTCACGCTATCTGAAAAAATACCTTTTCATTTGTAATATTTTTTGACAGTTATATTGCAAGGATGGAAAAATCCTACCAACATTCTATCAGCGTGACGATAGTCTTGACCTTTATGAAGCCATTCGAAATTACGTCACCAAATATGTCCATCTCTATTATGGTGCGTATTTTTTTGCCTTTGTATTGAAGATATTAAATTTTCAATAGATGGGAAACGAACAAAATACAAATCAATTGAATAAGATTCAAAATAGAGAAAACATAGGTATAACGCTTCGTGTACATAACAAAAGCAAACTTTTTAGTCATATACATGTACTTGGTTGTAATATGTTTTCTTTTATCCAACAGACACGAATGATAAAATTAAGGACGATCCTGAAATTCAAAACTTTGGGCGTGAATTATCAATGCCTAAGTCCAAAGGAGGTTGCGGAATTTTGGTAATAACGTTATTGTTTCCCAGCAGATCGTTTTATATAGCCCTATAGATTGTTATTTTTTCTAATGAGTATAACATGTTATAAAACTTCATGTTATCCTATAATCATTTGTGACAATCATTTAACTGTAACCTAAAACTGCTGGAAATTAAGCTGTCAGTCAAATTGTGTGCATGTGTATGATAAACTTTGAGCCTCCTACAAAAAAAATGAAATTTCTGGTTCTGGGATCTTGGCAATGGTGTTAAAAGTGGAGATTTATTATTATTGTGAAAAATCATTATTTTCTAATATTTCACGCCAAAATATGGCTGAAATATTGCCGACTCTACTTTAAACTATTTACATTCAATCAGTCAATCCTCTCCGAACCAAACTAGGTGTTTAGGGACAAACTAAATTCAGGGTTTTGAGGAGCAAGAGTACTTAAATTGTAAAATTGATGGCCCATATCGGATTGTTCTGCGTCGCTCAAATAGAGGATATGCGACTTTTTAAAAACCCCTTGTCTACATTTGGATCTTAAGCAGAACTAAATAAACTATTATAACGAGTAAAGGTTCCTTTACTAAAACTAAATAAAATTCATGGTCCAAGAGTAAGGCGGGTTCTTTTTATTTAAAAAGACAAATGTGTTAATTTGGATCTTCTCTGTATTTGGTTAAGTTGGGAGACAATCTGTATGCACGGTTACGATGAGCCAGGTTGATCCAACCTAAATTTTGAAATTCATGTCCCCAGTCTCAGAGGCTATGGTGGGTGTAACTCTTCCAACCATGTAATAAAAATGAATTTTAATCTTTTGCAAATCCTTTCACTAGGTGCAATGTACTTGGCTGGCAAATTAAGTACATCTTCTATACTGAGCTAAAGGGTTTTTTTCCTATCAACTTTGTAAAATTCATACAAACACATAAAGGTTCTCGATAAAAAGCAGGACTCCATTGTTAAAGAAAAATTTTACTCTTAATTGATGAAGTTATTTCCTGTGATTACTCACCTATGTATAGGGTATAATATATATATATATATATATATATATATATATATATATATATATATATATATATATATATATATATATATATATATATATATATAATGAATGACTTGGTTGTCCTTTTAATCCTTGTGTTTCTTAGTTTCAATTCCTTTCAGTGAGAAAATCCAAAGCATTTTCTTTTTATTAGGGTGTTCCATTTAAAGACGGGAAGTTCAGTTCAGCAGAGGACTTGATACTTGTGTTCACTTCCGTTATTTACACCAGTAGTGTAGTTCATGCCGCTGTCAACTTTCCTCAGTACGATACATACGGATTTCCCCCGAACTATCCAACAAAAATCAATGGACCTCCCCCTAAGGATAAGGTATTGATTTACTGACCAGTGTATATACAAATAAACCTGAAATTGGATGTTAAAGGATAAAAAATGTGATAGTAGTCAATTTCTGTGTTAATAAAAAGTATAAATAACATGTACATTTCTGAAAATTTTGGACTTGATCGTCAATTTAAGGAAGAACTTTGGTTAAGTGGCAAAAATATAAAGGCCGAGTTTCAAACCAGGTAAGTTTGGCGAGGATGAAGCCTGTAGAGTTCCGATGGAACCCTGATTCTCGCTTGTGTATAATACACAGATTCACAGAAAGTCACTTGTATTACCTTTGCGTTTTTCTATGAGTTACATGCCAATCATTGTCTCGTTTTTCTTAAGTATGAAAAGAAACAAAACGATGTTATTTCTCCGATTTAACCACACTAACTATTTGTTAGAATATATTCCTAGATTTCAACATCAAAAAAATTATTTATTCAAACTATTTTTCAATATTTCTTTCCTGATAACTTTAGATTGAGAGAGAAAAAGAGCATTTACTTAAAATATGTTAAATGCCTGTTTCAAGACCTTTTCGAATGTACTTTTGTTGTTGATCCAAAATGAATTTGAATTACCAAATCTATACTGTATTCCGAAACTTCATAAAAATCCTTACAAACAAACGTACATAACGGGGTCCAGTAAATTTGCAACCAATCCTCTTTTTTTATTCCTCGCTAAGATTTTAACAATAGTGAAGGAGAAACTTTAAGAGTACTGTGCAACAATGTATTTGAAAAATGGTGTAAATCAGATGTAGATACCAAAAGAATTACAATGATTTTTTGGAACATTTGAAAACACAACATTTTACCAAAATAAACATAATAAAAACTCAATACTTTTTAACTTGATGTACAACTATTACTTTTGCAGCAATATACATTCATCATCTGCTACGGGTTTATATCTCTCGATTGATTCGATAAAGAATAGAACTTTTCACGTGTGCATTTTATAATTAAATAAATGATATTTGATCCCACAACAATCTTTGTGCAGGTTAACGTTTTAGAAGTCGTTCTCATAACTTTTTAATCGTATACCATTTTTTTTTAGTTTTCTATATATGACGCAGGTCTCACGATCAAGACAATATTCCATAAAACTTACATCCCAACTTACATCCCAACAACGAGGACCATGATTTCGTGAATTTTTTGGCTTATATTCTATTTATTTGGCAGGGTAACTGAAAAAGTGATAAATCTGACAATTTTTTTTTTAATTTCAGAAGCCATTGCAGGAAGAGGAAGTAGTGAAGGCTCTCATTGACAGGGCTACCACTCTAGACACGATGATTATCACGAAAATCCTGAGTGCACGAAGTACTAACGCTCTCGGTGACTTTGAAGTGAACTATATTTATGACCCGCCAGCAGTAGCGATTGTGGAAGAGTAAGACATCTTAATTGTTACGTTTACCAATTGCGCTCCGTTATTAGCAGACCTATTTTTATATTCCTATGAAGCAGAATTGTGCAAAATCTCATGCGTGAAAAGAAGAAAACACTTGTTGTGGCCTTCAACGCGACATTTAGATATATCGACGAAGTATTGTTAATTAACAATGGTAATTTCCATTCCGACGTCGATACGATATATTCTGGTGAGCTTGAGATAAAAGATACCACTGAGTCTGACACATCTGTTTCATACTTGGATATTTTACTTGAAAAAGACGTTAATGGTAATCTAACTCCTAAGCTATATGAGAAACTTGATGACTTTAACTTTTCTATCGTCAACTTCCCTTACTTATGCAGCAATATACCTTCATCACCTGCATACGGAGTGTATATATCTCGGTTGATTCGATACACAAGAGCATGCTCTGTGTATGAACAATTTCTAAAACGATGTAAATTATTGACAAGCAAGTTAATGAAACAAGAATATCAGCAGTCTCGTTTAAAGTCATCATTTCGTAAGTTCTGTGGTCGATACAATGACCTTGTCAGCAAATACAATTTATCATTAAGTTAAATGCTGACTGACGTTTTTCATACTAATTGTAAGTTCATTATTAAAACACTGAATTGGCGACAGAATTTTCGTTATTTCGCGATCATTACAAGGAGCACACGGCGGGTGTGACCGGTCGGCAGCGGGTGCTCATTCCTCCATGGCACCTGATCCCACCTCTGATGTTTCGGAGGTCCGTGTTTGCTCCGCTCCTATTTGTATTGTTTTATGGACTTTGATATTGAATATTGTTTGTTACCTCCATATCCTTCCATCCATTTTTTCTAAAGAAACATAGGGCAGATTGTGTTCCCTGTCTGTCTGTCAGTCTGTTATACTTTCTTTTTCCTGTTTTTTTTTTCTCTTCTAATTTATGCAGTAACCAAATTTTTTTTAAGTCATTCTACTTTTGAAATTCCTTTTACATTTTACACTGTTATCATATTTTTTTCCCCAAAAGATTTGTAAATGGATTTTTTTTTAATATTCAACCTCGGAGTAAATGTGGGTCTTACGTTGCGGATTTGAATCCCAATGTGGGACGTAGAGACCTGTCTTTCCGTTCTTTATTTGGATAAAAATATTGGAGAGAAAACATCAAAGATGTTATTTTTGATAAAGACACAAATTTTTGTGCAAAAAGGGTCATATTAAATGTTCGTGGCGCCAAAAAGAAGCATATTTACCCCTTTTTTTCAATATGATTTTTAATTGAGATATTTATGTAGAAACTGAAAATATACGTGAACAAAAAAGTTTAAGACTTTAAATATCAGGAACCAACCTCGTTCAGTCAGAATAAATAAAGCTAGGAAGACATTTCACAACTTCAAATAACAGTGCTGCAGTGTATAGAAAATAACGTTTTCACCTTAACGAGGCAGATCCTAATTGCCGATCAAAGGTCAAAATTTGAATTCCTTTCCCGGAATTTGGCAACATCTCTATATAGATGAAAAATTCTCAAAAGTGGTAAAACAGCATTCACTGTACATTGTAAAAATAGATCAAAAAATTATATATAAATGTTTTCATTTTTTTCAGATTAAGAAGTGATCTGAAAAATATCAGTTCAAAGATTCATGAAAGAAACGGAAAGTTGGAGAGAGGGTATGAATATCTTCTGCCGGAGGAAATCCCGAATTCCATCAGCATTTGATTCTGCAAGAAGTATTTCAAGTGTTATTTGTGAACGCATCTTTTTTTTTAACAAACTATCCTTGTATTCATATTTCAGAAATTATTTTGTGATCTCTTTTCTGTTTTGATATAGACAAATGTAATAGTAAAATGAATTATAATTAATAAATAATGTTTGATAAATGTAAATACATGTAGAAATTGTTTATGAAACAACATATTTTCAGAAATGAGATGTTTTAACATGGCTTTCAGAATGTTCATAGCTTCAGATGTCATAGAAATATTAGATTCTTTGTGTGAATTAAGATGTTAACAATTTTAATATTGAAAATTATTTTTTTTTTCTCTCGGTTGTCTACGTATTTAATGTTGTAGACAAATAAAGATTTTTGTAAATTGAGATATGTTATATTACATATATATGTATGTTTATGTTAGATGAAACATCAAAGACGGATTTTATAATTAAATTCAATTTTCACTTTCTAATTTGTCGCTCTAGAGGCATTTTCTTCGCTTTATTCATTCATATGATTAAACAAAAAAAGTAAGTAAAAGCCTTTTATAATTTTAATGATTGTTTGATTCTTTATTTTGAATAGTTTTCGTTCATCTTTGTATACATCTTTATATAACAGAGGTACTACGATGCACAAACTGGCCGTGAGAAGTACACCTTGCTAATTTTTGGAATACCGGTATCTTTCTCCTTTTATATAGAGAACAATACATACCCTTTTCCATATCACATCCTGTATCAGCCCGAGACACCAATATCGGCATGGAAAAGGGTATGTTTTATTATATTTATTACATACTTAGTAATACAGAACCCATAAAGTGAGAAGAAAATAATTAAACAATCATACACGGACTTCTTAAAATGTACACATGCAGTCTATTGTCTCATACAGTTTCGGTTTGTTTCTGTATGTACTTCTATTTCAAATGTCCTCAATCCGTAATTTTAAAATAATCTATTATTAATCAGTTAGATTATCATTACATTCAAAAAGTTAAAATTAAGAATAGTATGTAACCCCCAAAATATGTGTATGATCACAAGTACTGTTTTTTGAGGTTTAATTTACTAGGGGTGTGATATTGATCCTGCAGGGCTGATAACCTATATCAGCCCCGCAAATCCATATCAGCCCTGCAGGGCTGATACGGTTATTGTGACGTCAGCCATATCGCATATGCAAAAATCCTGTATTTATTATTAAGTATGTAATAAAACACTATACCAAATAACCAAACATGTGTATTGTGAATAGATCAAGTTTTTTTCTCGAAAGCACCCACTTTCCTCAGAAAAAAATTATTTGAAAACAAGTAAAATCTTGCTTTGTTAAAACTAATACAGTTTGTGCAGTTTGTATTTAAATTTTCTTGTTTGTCATTCTGATATATTACAAGTGCTGTACAACTAAATATAGCGGATCAAGTAAACAGCATCATTTACAGAATCAAACTTCTTGCGTAAATTAAAGTTGTAATGTACCATTTTCAAATAATTCTCATCAGTGTCGCCAGACTAGGGGTGGGCCGAAATAGAAGACCAGCATTTTTTTTCATTGAAATGTAAATACAATCTTTAAAATTTTTACTATTCAAAAAAAGGATTCATTTATTTTTTAAAATACCTTTTCTGTATCGATAATGGAATTATTGAAATAAGACAGGACGCGCTTATCGGTATTAAGCTGATTACAAACAAGAGACCCATGGGCCACAACGCTCACCTGAGCACTGTGGCTAGGAAAAAAGCAGAAATCAGTTTATTAGTGAAAAGTTTAAACCCAAAAGAGGTTTTAACCAATACATAAAGGGATGGGTTTGATTTTAACAAACTTGAATCTATACTAACTAAGGATGCATGCATATTTTTTAACCTACCTGTGGCTGAAATTTATTGCCTTTTACATTTGAACTTACATTGTGGCCCCGCCCTACCCCAAGGGGTCATAACTTGAACAAACTTGAATCTACACTACCTGAAAATGCTTCCATACAAAAATGACTAATCATCACTTTGTTATTCTAGATAAGAAGATTTTTTTCTATATATTTCTACGTAAAACTGATCGGTCATTGTGGCCACGCCCTACCCCCATGGGTCATGATTCGAACAAACTTGAATCTACACTACATTTACCTGATGATGCTTCCATATAAATATGATCATTCATGCCTTTGGAATTCTTGAGAAGATTTTTAAAGAATTTTCCTATATATTTGTATGTAAAACTTTGATCGGCCATTGTGGCCCGCCCTATCCCTGGTGGTCATGTTTTGAACCAACTAGAATATACACTCCCTGATGATGCTTCCATATAAATATGACTAATCATGGCTTTGCTATTCTTGAGACGAGAATTATAAAGAATTTTTCTATATATTTCTATGTAACAATTTGATCGGCCATTGTGGCCCTACCCTACCCCCAGGGGTCATGATTTGAATAAACTTGAATTTTCATAGCCTGAGAATGTATCCCTATAAGTTTCATCTTTCCTGGCATAGTGGTTCTTGAGAAGTATGTATTTTAAAAATGCCACCCAATTTTCACTATTTCTGAATTACCTCCACTTGAATGAGGGCTTGGCCTTTCATTTGAACAAAATTGAATTCATTTTACCCAAGGATGCTTTGTGGCAAGTTTGGTTTAAAATGGCCCAGCGGTTCTGTGAAAAGTTTACAGACAGACAGACACTGGACAAAATGTGATTAGAAAAGTTTACTTGAGCTTTCAGCTCAGGTGAGCTAAAAATGATTAAGAAATCATGTATCTGAGTGTAAGTTCTGGTCTTTTAAAATCATTGTTTAACTCATTAAGTGGATTATCACAACTATTTAATGGAAAAGATAATGAACTGCACTTTACCCCTTCAGTGAGTATACCAGGCTTTCTTCAGTTTAAGCTCAACACAAATAGTGTAGCCATAAACTATGATAAACAGAAGCATGAATTTGTTTTAACTGTACTCAGAAATTGCTTTTCATTTCATAAATGAGCATAACATATTTTCTTTGTTAAAGTCATTTTGATTTGCACACGGGTACTCTAAGGTTGACATTAAAAAGATGCTGAAGGGTTCCTTTTGACAATGTCCTTATTCGTGTAGCATTTTAATAAAGACCTTGCCTTCAAATATTATATTCGAATTTTTGAGGCATTATTTGTGTTCCTTCATTAGCGGACTTGTTTTATTCTTATGGAGCAGAATGTATTTTAAAACTTGCACAAATTGAGTAGTATATAGTAACTACATTTACTACATTTTATCAGAAAAAATACAAAATAAAATATAAAAAATGGGAGCATAACTGAAATTATATCAAAGGGGCAGTCATTTGCTTCGTATTTTGATATTTTACTACAAAAGACATTGATAGAAACATATTTACATTTTTCAAGTCTTTGTTCTATATCTTTTAAAATTGTCGTTGTCGCTTTATATATTAATATAATTTTGGTTGAAAATTACTCATACCGTTATTATAATATTGTTGTTATAAAAATTGTGACGACAACTTCTCTGTAATATAACTTACATGTATATTTCTTATCAGTTGTTTCACGTCTTAAAAAGAATATCAAACCTGTAAATACAGTTTATTTAAGGAATGAATTGAGCCTTAGTCATACTGGTATTACCTGGGTTGGGACAGTTAACGATTTATAAACCGTGAAACCACACTGTTCTAATCCAGTTTTACCAGTATAAGTTGAGTAGCTCATTCATTCATTCGTCTTAATTTAATTTTCCATCATTAACAAAGCCAACTGGGACTGAGTTAAAACTACTGTAGAGAAACTCTTTAATTTCATACAGTATGTAACTTTCATTAACTTAGCGTACAGCCGTCTCAAAAATGGAAATATATGTACACGTATTTAATTTATGAATATCAAATAGAAAAATGTAATGAGTAATAATAAATTGTACATTATATTACGAAACGCAAATTTTTATCCTCTTGTTTCTAGAGGGGGCTATCAAAATGTCTAATTTAACGAAATTTTACTGATTTAAGGAATACTGCAAAATATGAGAGATACAAAGGATTTATACTAATAATTACAAGATAAATTATAGTAAGCTTTTCAAATTTCTATGTATAAAATTTCAAGAACTTATACTGTACAATTCTGCTTTTATAACATTTTATGACTCTCTCTTGGAGAACATTAGTTTATCCTAACGTCACAAACACACTTTTTCGGCGTCAATCTAGCTATAGGTTAAAAAATCGTTTTAATTATTAGTAATATGAAATTGTAATTAAGCTTTTTTACACGTGGTGTCTTAATTTTGTATAATTTTATTAATTTTCTTTTAAAAAATGCTTTAAAGATTAATACGCTTTATCCCCTTGGGATCCGGGTTAATTAGAATAGGTCCTCAGTACCCCCTTGCTTGTCGTAAAAGGCGACTAAATGGGGCGGTCCTTCGGATGAGACAGTATAAACCGCGGCCCCGTGTCACAGCAGGTGTGGCACGTTAAAGATCCCTCCCTGCTCAAAGGCCGGAAGTGCCGAGCATAGGCCTAAATTTGCAGCCCTTCACCGGCAATGGTGACGTCTCCATATCAGTGAAATATTCTGGAGAGGGACGTTAAACAGTATACAATCAATCAATCATAAGTTGATGCGCGAAGTTTAGCTCGATGGAATCCCTGGTCGGTCCCCTTAAGTGTAGAAAATAAGATAATTTATCCTTTAGAATGTAGGGTGATGCGGATTGAAACGAAAATTCATTGTGTTCTAGGCAACATAAGTTATACATGTACGATATATAGTCTGAATGTGTTATCCAATCAAATGATGCGTTCCAACCATAATTAAATTACACTATTTGAATAGTCTGTATGCATTTTTTTGCCAATTTTATTTAATATGTTAAAGGTGCATAGACACCAATTTGAAGTTAAATCTTATTTCATCTAAAAGTTATTGAAACAGGTCTGATTGACACGTCCTTGCACTTTCGAAAATTTTTATTTTTTTATTTTATTCTTGAAATGAACTAAGATTTTTAATATATTTTTGTGTGAAAAGCTATTACAATATATAAGTGATGATATTAAACAGAAAAATTTAGAAAATATTAACTTCAAATCTGTGTCTATGCACCTTTAAGACAGTGTAGGGTGCTATCAAAGTTTGTCAATAAATGAATTATAAACTTTGGGAAATGCCAAAGAAAATTGCATGAGCAATGAAAACCTGTAAAAAGACAATACAACCCTCTCTGGCTGGATTCGGATTTGCAATATACAAGGATATAATAAAATATAATTTAATATATATCCTGGTCAGTGGTGCATACAGGGTCAGAAGGTGATAGTGTACAAAGCTCAATTTCGAAATACAATACAAAGTCCTTTTACATCCTATATCCTATAACTACTGTATTTTATTACTTCTCCAGTAATCAACTAAAGTAATATCTGCAATGACCAGCTACGAAATTCAAGTGAAGACAGGGGATAGACTGGGAGCGGGTACAGATGCCAACATAGAGATAGTTCTACTGGGAAGCTGTGGGGAGCAAACAGAGTCGGCCAATATCGACTGTTTGTTTAAAGATGACTTTGAACGATGCAAGACCGATGTCTTTACTATACAAGATGAGACAGATATTCCTGAAGTAAATGAGATCAAGTTACGAAGAAACAAAGCGGGTTTATTCAGCGATTGGTTCGTTGAAAAAGTAGAAGTAACCAATCAGAAAAGCGGAAAGACTAGTGTTTTCCCAATACTTCGGTGGATTCGCCCTGACGTTGACCTCTATGTTGGACGATATGATGTCTCTCTGCCACAGTTTGATCCTCGGCCGCAACAGCGCAGTGCTGAGTTGGATGAGAAAAGAAGCTTCTACGAGTATGAGGAGAAAAAGCCAGGATTACCCGTACAGGTACAGATGGAAATCTGTCATCGTATAAGAATAAGTTTATGTATTTATTCTGGTGTAAAATATTTTTATTGTAAATGTTGAATCATTTCATCGTAGGTTAAAAATGTTCCTGAGGATGAAGTGTTCTCTTTTTCTTATAAGGTAGGTGCCCAATTTCTAACTTTGCAATCTCTGTAGATGTCCAAACATTTATACTTTCACCTTTTTTTTTACAATTGTACATGCATATCGTTTTAATTTTTAAAAAGATATATATTTATGAAATGGGCTAAGGTAACTAAATAGTTATTGATCTTAAAAAATCTATAAGCAATATGAATATTTGAGGAAGGCATAAAACACTGAACCGCGGAAGTTCCAGAGATAGAATATTAAGTGTCTAGGAGGAATGAACATCCCTTGTCGACTGGTAACACACAGTACTGTAGCCCTTTGTATTGACCAGGTAGATGGAACATTTCGTAGCTCAACTATGACCTAATGATCAGTCATATCTGCTTACAAAGTCATGATAAAGGCCAAAGAATTCACGAAATACCGACTTAAAACAAGGTTGTTGAAATCACTAAAGCATCAACATATCAGTAAGTAGCACACCTTCCTTTTAAAATAAATCGTACTCATAGCAAGCTCTTGAGTAGTGAATGATTTTGCAAGGCATAAAAACCATAATCAAATTATAGCGTGAGTAATTCTCTAAAAATTATGAAATTAGGAAAATTTACAGTTGAAAACCTGAAATTATCTCGTTTTTCATGCAGTTATCATCTATATCAGTAAAACATCCAGAAATCAGATATTTATTTTTTAATTTAAAAAGATTTTTTTTTTAATTTTGTTATGTTCCTATAACGATTCATCTCTGGTTCTTTGAACTTGTGCTATATAATAAAATACAATTATGAAGAATAATTTACAGTCGTATAAACTTCATCATAAAAAAATATTACAATACCAAAGAGATACTCCAACTTCAAACCTTGAAACATAATCTTTTTTCAAATAGTATTCTCAACAACCAAAATGAATTTGCCATATCTATATTGGTTTTCGAAACTTCATACAAAATCATTACAAAGAAGATTTATAGTGGGTTCCAATAAATTTTTACCATGCATCTTTCCGTTAGTCCTCACTAAAATATCAACAGCAGTAAAGGAGAATCTTCAGAAGTACTGAAATAATATAAAGTCCTAGAACCAACCGTTCAAATGTCATTGACAAGATTAAAGTGAATAAGTAGGTCAAACTCCAAGTTCATGGTCAAAGTTGTTAATATCAAATAAAAGGTTATGACCAAGGTAAATTTTTTTTTTTGAATAGATCATACTCAAAGGTCAAGGTCAAAAAGTAAAAGTTGTTGGTAAGCAATGGAAGGTGTTTTCACAAAGAAATATGAAAGTTTTATCACAAACTGTTCTTAAGTTATGGCCAAGGTTAAAGTTTTTAAAAAGTTGATCAAACTCCAAGCACAAGGTCAAGGGTCCAAATGTTGTTGGTATCCAGTGAAAAATCTTGTCATCGCAGCTGTAACAATCGATTTGTAAACGAATGGATTTATCTCTATCTCGTTTTTCAACTGATAATCAGAAAAATTTTATTACGGAATAAATTTGTTTTTAAATACACTGATTACTTAGAATTTATTTATGGCTACGTAGTTCACCAGGAAATTTTCCACAGTTTGCGCATCTTCGCTTTCCAAACGCATTTAAAATTAATTTAAACGATTATGCAGATATACTAGTAATGTACAGATCTACTTGTAATTAATGTAAATAATTAAGAAAGGGAGTTCGAATAGCAGAACCAAACAAACAGAAACTAAAAATGTTTTATACATATAATCATGGTTACATTATCACAGTTTGATCTGCTACAAAGAAAATACAGTTTGAAGGCGGGAAAAGCCTTGGAGATGATTTTTGGTGATGGATCATGGAAAACTTTAGACGACTTGACAGGTGTCTATTCAGAAACATTTGGAGAACCGAAGGTAACATATCTGTCAAGTTATTTTATCTAAAGCATTGCTATGAATGAATATTAGTTCTTATTGCCTCTTAAAATTGAAAAATTTGAAGAAAACTCATCAAAGCATTTCCATAATTTATAAAATGGATTGTCATTGTTCTGCTCATCAAGACGTCAAGATTTTTCTTTAGCATTTTGGTAAAAATTCCATTTAAAGCGCCGCCAATTTGTATAGTACATATAAGAATAAAAAGCATGATTTATTCTTTTTTTATGGTCAAAGCAATGATAACTCTTTTCTAAAGAAGAAAGTGTACATGTCTTTAATCGAACAGGGGATGCAGGATTGGGAGAGTGATATAAGTTTTGGATGGCAGCGATTAAACAGTGTCAACCCCAATCTGATTCGGCTCTGTACACATATACCAGACAAGTAAGGGATCGTAATTGATGTTTTTCGGCAGACTTAATTAATACATCGATTATTATGTTTAGGAAATAATATGCGTGACACTCACTATTACACATGTCAACAAAAGCAACAAGCATGTTTCCAATATTACTGATAAAAAAATCCATGGAATTCTTACTATTTGAATCTCATTTCTTTCAGGTTCGGGGTGACCGAAGAAATGATCAAACCTTTTCTAGATGGATTGACTTTATCCCAAGCTATCACTGACAAACGTCTGTTTATCATTGATCTTGAAATATTGGATGGAATTTCTCTAGTCGATGGTTATATTGTAAGTCAAATTATCCCATACGAAATATATATATATATATATATATATATATATATATATATATATATATATATATATATATTAAGTGTCTTTATTTTCAATCCATCCTTTATACATCCATTCAATAAGATTTAAGAACGGCTTAATTAGACAATGATTATTTATTTATTAAAACGTTATTTATGTGTTTTTTTAATTACATGCAGTGTCCGATTCCCATCGCCCTCTTCTTCGTTAACAGTAAAAATCAACTATTGCCAGTTGCGATACAACTTTTTCAACAGAAGGGATCTGACAATCCAGTAAGAACGACGATAAAACTTCAAAAAGAAATCGTATTGAAAGTAAAGGTTATTAATTCTTTAATGTAAGATCGTCCTCTGAATGATACAGGCATGATTTGCTATATTTCAGGTGTTTCTGCCCAGTGATCCACCTTATACATGGTTAATGGCCAAAATGTGGTACAACGTAGGGGACTCAAATTATCACCAAGCGATAACTCATCTAGGTAGAATTGTGTTTTTAAGTAAAGTATATATATCTACTTATATAGATTTTGTATTAAAATTGCAATCATCATTTTAGCAATGCTGCATGTGCATGCTCATAATGTAAAATGAGCACCAGTAAAGATGCATCTATCATTTTTGTCATTTATCATCATTACATCAACCATCTCCGACCAACTGATACTGCTTCACTCCAAACAAACCCCGGATGTTATTGGTGGAGGACTATGCATCAGATTCGTGTATTCCTCAGTCGGAAATGCCTTTCAACTCATTTCATACTTCGTTACACGTAAAGTTCAACAAAACCACTTTTTATAACTTGTCTAATTCTTTCTTGTATATATTGGTTTTTGATTGAAACCTTATGTTAGTAACCTTTAAAAGTAGAAAATTAACATAGCGTGGACATCCCATAAAGAAACTCTTATTTCAAAGGAATAACCTTGTGAGGAATTATGAATTGGACCACATGATTGCACGTTAGCAAAGAGATAGTAACCGTTTATGTCCAATGTTAGTGAAGCCTCTGGAGGAGCACCGAGTGATCTTCAAATCCAAACCTCCAAATGCTAAAATACTAAAAATACTATTAAAACGCTAAATAAATGCGACTTTAAAAAAAAAAAGACGACTACATGTAGACAGCCATGAAATTTTGAGATTCATTTAAAATATCTTGGATTTTACAATCAAGTAATTCATGGACTTAGTATATAAACATATTTTTGTGAAATTAGTAAAGAACAACATATACTGTAAATTACGTTTTATTCGCGAGAACTTAATTTTCGCTTAATTACCCGAGACAATGAGCTCGCGAAAATTTCATTCTCGCGTTTAAAATTATTCCTTACGATTATATAGAGGAAAAACAACAATTCGTGAAAATTATGTTTCGCATATAAAGAGTCAATGACTATCTCCCGAAAATAAGGTGTCGCGAAAATTTAGTGATCTACAGTACTTTGTAAAATAGGTAAGTCTTAAGTAAAGTTTCCGTTAATTATCAATAAAAATAAATTTAGGTTACACCCATCTAGCAACGGAAGGCGTGTGTATAGCGGCAAATAGATGTCTGTCTCCTTCCCATCCCATGTTTAAACTGTTGGCTCCACATCTTCTCTACATTATTGCTATCAATGAGTATGTATTATGATTTTTTTCATATAAAGATTATTATGATTATACAATAATTCAAAGATCTCCATAAAAAATGAGTTAAATCAATAGGTACTTTAAAGTCTACAAACAAGCTGATTTTCCTTTTTGATGCGTAAAATCTTAACACCGATATTTATTAACTTTTACATCGTTCCCTTTTACATTTCAATTCAATCAATACTATTCTTCCCAAGTTAAACAAAAATATGATATTCATGAAACATTCTCTTATTATTTTAACTTTGAATATTATTAGCCGTGCTATCGACGTCCTTGTGTCTCCTGAAGGATTTATTGATGAAGCAATGGTGATGGGAAGCAAGGGTGTTGTTGAACTAACAGCAAAAGGGTGAGTGATAATGGATACTTGTTTGGATAGTTTATTTTCAATACTATTATAACCTTCCAAAAAAGTAGGCAACATATTAGTGTTCATATTTACGGTAAATTCCATGTCACCTGATACATGCAGATACGTTAAAGCCGCTTAATCGGAAACAGGCACATATTATCTTACACAATAAAAGTACGTCATTACATAGATAATATATAAAAATATATTATAAGATTGATTTAATAGTTTATTACAACAATCCTGAAGTCACCTTTGAAAAAAAAAATATCGGTTTTATCTAATTATGAAGATAATTCAAACCCGAGTATGTTTTTTCCTTAGTAGAAAGCCTAAGTCATTATATATCTTTTAAAAATTAAGAAATTAATAGAATATAATCCATGGTAATTTTTATATTAATATGCATATTTAAAGAATAAAAGAAAATCATATATTTTTAAAGATTTTTATTAAAAGGAAGTTTAGTAACGAAGGCTAAAATATTGTCCATGTACAGGTATAAGTCTACTAACTTCTTCATGAGATATAAGCGATAAATTTAATTTTTCGAAGGCGATTTCACGCGATATCAGGATAGGATATTTTTTGTGTGACCTAATAAAAATTATTTTTTTAACTTTTGAATTTTGATATATTTTAAAGAAAAAGACATTGGTGATATAAAAAAAGAAAAAAGTTGAAACAATTTATGGACAATTATTTTTCAAGAAGAAAAACGAATATATTTTTTCGCGATTAGAATCGGACTAAGCAGCTTTAAGGAAAGCAAAAATGTAAGTTATATACAACTCGTACCGTGTATTGGTGGACGATATTGAAAAAAACAGCGATCGATCTTTAAAAATGAATATATAATGAAAATCTGTAAACGGGACATCAAATACGAAAACTAGTGAAATTCAGATTTGCATCCAGGTGCCTCAAAGGGGTATGCATAATGTCAAAAC